AAGCAACTTGTCAATCATGTTCTGACATCCTTTGGGTGCATATTTCATCAAAAAATTCCTCTACACACGTTCTTCTACCAAAAGATTATAGTACAGATTTTGTTTACAACAAGCGCGTTGATCCGTTGTGGAAAGAGGAGGGGAAGGAGGTGAGGGGAACAGTCTTGTACTATTGCGACTACAATATTGTGAGCGGAAATACTACCGTCTAATTTACAATCAAACAGGACTAGGGAGATTGGAAGCGCACAAAACATTAGTTAGCATTTTTATTTCCCAACCATAAAGGTGATTTGTATTTAATTTATCATTATCATGACATGGTGAGATTGCGTCAACAAAACATCGGAGTTCTTGAACTTGTGATATTGCTACTTAAATAAATTGAAATAGATAAACATGTACTTGGCGAAGGCTGTACAATTATTGTTTAATAACGGCTATTTAAAATTCAATTGGCTAACTATAATGTTTTGAAATTAGGATAAGCAATGTATGCAGATAATATTAAACACTTAGTGTATACTGGTCTTAATATACAAAAGGAATAAATCAGTTATAGTAGAAATTGTTCACTTCTGAGTTTGTAAAAATGTTGGCCTGATAGGTTTACACGCTTTCAGTTTCTACAACGTACAGTACTTTGTTTTCACAATAAATTGATGGTTACTGAGATGGTTACAAAATGTAAAAACAACTGCGTTTTTACTCGATTTTTGTCTGGAAATACACACTGCACTTGAAACAGAGCACAAGTGAACAGACAAAATTCATGACAGTCATTCGCAATTGTTGTTGTACTTTCTACTCGTTTTGAAAAGTGGAGTTTTAACTATAGAAGATTGATAAAATGTGAGGGGGGACAATTGATATGATTCCCCTCCCCCCAACTTTGTAAAATTGGGGGACGTGTCACCCACTGTTAAATGCCATTGATTTGATGTGTTTTTGTGGGTAAGTTGATCGGCAAACCTACCTGCAAACTAATATATTAAAACATGTGATTTTTCATCCAGCACAAATCTTAATAGATCTATTATAGAGTACATATATATAAACAGTGTTTAATTTTGAGTAGTTTTGTAGCTTGTTGGTTGAGATGCTTGCCTGGTAATCCAGGGTCCTGGGCTCTAATCATGCATGGATTAATTTAATGATTAAAACATTCCAGTCCCAAAGAGTTTAAATTTCGCCTATATGCATACATAGGACATGAGAGTGCAACATTGCACCTCACGATCAGTAGTCCAATACCTTACACGATGCATCACTTGCTCCTTACAAGCATGCTTATGATGTTATTGATTGATTGATCGTTTTAATTGATTTTGTTCATTAATGATGTATTAATGTAATAATAGATTTAATTAATAAATTTAATTTGATTTATTGCTCAATTGGTTGTTTGATGATGTGGATATATTTTTTTATCATCCTGATTGATTGATTGATTGTTAAATTGATTGATTGATTGTTTTAGTGAGTGATTTGCTTAAGCCTTGTCCAGGCAATCTATGTATGGATAGATTTATTGATTAATAGAGATTAATTAATTGATTTATCATTTTAGGGAGTGACTGACAGGTTTGATGATGTCATACTAACTGTAGGCAGTGGTGGAACAGCAGCTGGTGTTGCTATTGGGAACTTCCTTACTGGATCCCATCTCAGGTATTTATTAAATTGATCTTTTTATTTGGTAAAAAACCTGCAGGGCATCAGCTATTAAAACATAATGACTTACTACACACACACATGTATGGAGTGAAATTAAGTGTACTGGGTCAAAGTTTGATACTTAATCTTGACAGGGCTTAAGTCAGACGCTCTTAGTACGTTGTCCTTTAAATGCAGCTGATGTCTTCATTATTCCGCTAAAGGGAAACTCTTTTCTTACCATCACATTAAATAGATAAAATATATATAAAAATATGCATGAAACGGTCATCATAGAACATATACAAAATGTTTTAGAGGCAATGTAGTACAAGACACCTTTGCTTTTATTTTCAGGGTGCATGCCTTTGCTGTGTGTGACACTGCGGAATATTTTCACTCTCATATCAATGAGACTCTCAACAGTATTGGTTTAGGTGACACGGTGAGGTCACATGACATCATCAACATCCATGAGGGAGCAAGAGGACTAGGATACGGCATTTCAAAACCAGAGGAATTGGGTAAGAAAACAAATGTGACAAAAAAAAAAGAGTTATTGTTGTATTTATAAAACTTCTTGTCTAGATTGTTCTGAATCTGAGTAGATACTGACAAAGGACCCCACTGGGGTATATACTATAGATATGATAGTAAAAACAGAGAATAAATACAATATACAGTAGAACCCCTCCTTTAGGACACCACCCCCTCCTGTCACAGGAAATGTGATAGTGTGTAGACAGTTCTTTATACTGATTTAAAATATTTTTATTTTTTTAAAGAATTCATTAAAACAGTAGCCCAGCAGACTAGTATTTTGCTTGACCACACATACACTGGTAAATCAGCACTAGCACTGACCAACGAGCTCAGGAAACACAGGTCAAAGATCAAAGGCAGCCGAATACTCTTTCTACATTCAGGTATGTATCCATGTTTGTGATTATTGAGGAAGGGCTGTGAAATTTGAGAATCTCTCCACCCTTTCATCTTGCTAAGGTTGCCATTCTTAAACACTCCTTATTAACATGCACTGTGTAACATGGTAAAAAGAAAGATAGTTCCTTGTTGTTGTGAATGTGTGTAGAATAGAATTTAATGATTATTGGTGGTTTGTATTGTTGTATGCAGGGAAACAGATGAACACATTCTGATGTTCTTTTTTCTTTTTTATGCATCAGGTTGAATATTTAGCATGTTTGATGGGCGGCTAGGAGATGTTCTAATGCAGTCAGCTGGAGAAACATTGGTACAGAACTGGATGAACCCTGAAGATGAACCAACTATTGTATGATGATACATTCATCATACAATAGTTGTATGATGATACATTCATCATACAATAGTTGTTTGATGATACATTCATCATACAATAGTTGTATGATGATACATTCATCATACAATAGTTGTTTGATGATACATTCATCATACAATAGTTGTTTGATGATACATTCATCATACAATAGTTGTTTGATGATACATTAATCATACAATAGTTGTTTGATGATACATTCATGAGGCTACGCTTCATGAATATCTTGTACCGCTGGAGTTGATGTATGATACATATATGAGGGCAAGCTTCATGCATATTTTTTTTTTTTTTACAGTTTATTGCACATGCTATGGATTCTGCACTATAAGACTGCAATGCATATCTTGTAACACTGGAGTATACATGTTGATGGATCTACACACATGAGGGCAGGCTTCATGAAATATTGCTCAATTGGATGCAAATCTTAATATTGTAGTAATTATCGCCTATATACTGTGATAATTAAAGGTACCGAGTGGTGCTTACCTTTATCCAATGGGATATCTTCTTAAGGCGACAATACTCCAATATATAAACACAATATAGTACACACCGTATATAGTACGGTATATACCTTGTATAACAGACCCGGACACCAGATACACAGAAACCAATTCTCTAGCGTTGGCTGATGCGTCTTGCATTAAGTCCAGTGTACGAGTGACTATATCTCACCAGGTACCCCTGGTCGGCTGTGCAGCACACCCGGCTGTGGGTTATGCAGATGAGCTGACCTTGAGGTCATGTCCTCCTGCGTAGATCGGGGATACGAACGTACGGGGGTCGTCACTACAATATGCTTCAAATAGACTTGGATGAATAGTGTGCAGTCAAGGTGGTTGCACCAACGCCCAGTAAACAATTTAAATATCAGTTGATTTGCGTTAGGTGTTTACTATTTAACCTGTAAGCTGGGGTAGAGATTGGGTGCAAGACCAGGGCGTGTCCACACTCCAGTGAGCCATGCGTCAAGCATCTTTCCTTTCTGGGTCTCAATTCCTCTAAGTCAAAGCCAACATTGTCCCAGCCTCTCAACTTATCTTATCAGGGTCTGCCATTGGAAGGTGTGGGTTGAATTGAGCTGAGAGGCTATAAACCCAGGGGAGGTCTTATAAAAATGCCTCCTTTTTCACCATAAAACAAGTAGATGAAATAATCAAAGGCAATATAAAAGGATGAAACTGAGATTCTAAGATGACAGCATGCAATGATAATAAATATTAATGCAGGCACCTATTAATAATAGGATTATAGGCCATGGTTAATGTTTAAAATTCTTTAATAGGTATTTTTGTAAATTTCATATAATTCAGACTTGGTTGCAATTTTAATGTTAATAAATGAAACTGGAAAAACTGAATCTAAATAAAAGATATTATTAAATTATTCTAAAATATGATGTCACCTTCTCATTATACCAGCCTCATTAATATTTAACTACAGTATGGTAATTGTTAATTTATATAATAATAAGATAAATTGTAATCTATTTACCATATACAGTAGTGGCAACAACATGTAGAGGTCTCCTTGACCACACCTTAGGAAATAGAAGTCAATGAGCTTGCATATCTGGACTTCACCAAGTAATCACCCCCTGGGCCCAACTACAATTTCCAGCCCCACAACCCCCACCACCCCCTATTTCTGCTTGCTTTTCCTGAACGTATACCTCAAGCAATTACTGATAATTTACTTTTTTGCTTGATTTAATATATTTGTGTTTATTAGCACTGTACACACAATCCAAGTTTGTTTGACAAAAACTGTTGTATGCCTAAATATAGTCATGGTGTGCCCATAGACATGGTGTGACTAGCTTCCTTATGTTGTGGTCATATTAGACTGTAATATTATTATTGAAGAAGACTATTCAACAAGCAACATACAACATATACATATCAAAGTTATTTGGTTAAAGTTCTCACGTTGGTGCAAGCATAAAACGTAATTTCCTAAAACCTGGATATCTGAAATTGACAGCCAATTGAAATTCTCTGTATTATCTATTGTAATTTAACGAGTGGATTTCCTTATGATTTAAGGAAATATAAAGTTTAGAAGGTCAGAAGTTTAAAAGTTAAAGAGAGGACTGCCTTATGTTGTGGTCATATTTGACTAATATCACTAAAGACTATTCAACAAACAACATGAAACAGCAAAATTATTAAGTTAAACTTTCCACTTCGGTGCATGAATATAATGTAATTTTTGGGATATATGATATTTACATGACATTTGAGAATGTACTGAATTCAAATCATGGTGTGCCCATATGTAGTCATGGTGTGCCTATATATCCCTGGTTCTTAATAGGCCCAATAAAAGTCACCCGCTAACCTGATAGCGATCCAGTGGAATATTCGTTAGATTAATAAATTTTCACTATACACGATAATGCAAAAATTGAAATTTTCGGGTTTATAACGGCTACCGCGCAGGGGGTGGAAAAATATCAGCTTAAATCGTCTTTAATTCATAAATCCCAGGACATGTCTTGTAAGATACAGAACTGTGATATTGTAATGTTCAGTTTGGTTTTTATCCTTTTGCAAGTGTTTATAAAGTTGTGTTACAGTAGTCGTACTGTAATAATGATACGATGGGGGTGATTATGAAAGACATTTTTAATTTTAAGAAAAAAAAATCAAAAGTAGGTAAAAAAAAGAAGCGCACACAACAGAATGAAAAATAGATATGTATATGTATATATATATATATATATATATATATATATATATATCTATATTT